TCTGGAACCAACTTCCAAGAGAAGTGGTGCAGGCTCCTACCCTGGGGGTTTTTAAGAGGAGGTTAGATGAACACCTTGCTGGGGTCGTTTGACCCCAGTACTCTTTCCTGCCATGGCAGGGGGCCAGACTAGATGATCTGCTCAGGTCCCTTCCGACCCTAGAAACTATGAAACTATTCCTAGTTGAAATTTCTGAGTTTATCTTGTGAATCATGTATGCACTCCTAACAGTACTAACATTGCATGGCACCCTGTGTCATCCTTAAAAGGCTTTCAAGGCAACCCAGGTTGCCAGGGAAGCTTAGCTGAGAATCACTGAATAAGGTATGGCTGCCTGGAGCAAGCTGAGTAAACTTGGATGAGGTGGTAGCAGTTAAATTCATTTTCCATCCTTTATGACTGGCTTCCCTGATGTGTGAAACATGTTCAGTGATCTGCAATATACTGAGTGGACCTTGTTGGGAGTTGCTTACTGCTGCACTTTGATTACCTCACTGATAATGTCTGCAAACTTTTTTTTGCTTCCAATTCTTTGCCATGTAGATGATATCTTGTGTTGATGGTAAAAATATAGCCTGAAATGCTTGTCCTTAAAATTCTTATTGACAGACATCAGTATTGCCAGGGAGTTATGAAATCTATATATAACTCTTATTCTAAAATATACAAGAAGCAAGGCCAGTAGCATGTTCCCTTGAAAAATAAAATTATATACAGGATTTGTGTGAGTGTGTATATAAAATTATGTATATGATTTGTGTGTATATGTATACTCACACACACATACAAATCATATATGTAATTTTATATAATATATATACTTTGTGAAATGTATACATTTTGTAAAATTTATAATTTGTAAAATGCATATATATGAAACACCACATTTCAATCAGAAAAACAGTAAGCAATCATTTGGCAACTGCCAGTCTCACAATGTACCTGAGTTCAGAAGAGTATTGCACTGTTTAGATACACATCATATAGACCAGAATGAATCCTGCAGCACACAGCTTGGAATTTTTGTGGGTCTAGTAAAAAAAAATATCTGAAGGATATTTTGAATTGCTTGCAAAACTATGCTCTATATTTCAAATTGTCACTCTACTTTTATTCAGTTGATATGAGTTTATGAGTTTACCTGAGGAAAGCCTGTACAAAATATAGTTAAACCACAAGAGTTTAAGCTGAGGTACAGGATCATCTCCAGTCAGTGAAATTCAAAGTGCATGTTAAGGACTATTTATAAGTATGAAGAGTTCTGCTTGCTTTAAAAGCCATAAAATATGATATTTTGAACTGCTTAAAATCCAAAACAGGCAAAAAACACTAAGAAGCCCAGAGGAGCGATTTATTTAGAAGGATTTTTTTCCCACTGAGGTTTTCAGAAGAATCTTTCAGAGGGAATTGCATTGAGAGTAGGATTGCATGGTAAATTGAGATAACCAGAGCTATATGCCCTGTGGAACACATGCTGGATTTACCTCTGTAAATCCAGAGAACTCCACAGCAATCAAAGAAAAAAAATGTTTCATGATGCTGTTCAAAGGTTACACCAGAGCATTTGTTCCTGTTGCATTTTCACACAGCATGGAACACACAGAAGCTCAGCTGTAAAAACAGTAAGAAGTTTGACTTGGACAATAAGCCTGGCATACACATCTATTTAAGTTTACCGCCAAATTTGAGCAAAAAATGTGATGTATTATAGCAAATGCCCCTCCTGTATGCTCCCCTTGAAATCCTCTTTGTTTTTGATTT